GAATATTATTTATACAAATATACTCTTTTGCATAAGGCTTCTTTCCTTTAGTATGATGTCTGAGGCTTATCTACTTTTTGCATATTAGTAATGTTGTTATTGCCTAGTAGTATCCCACTGTATGAGTGACTACAACAGAGTTTATTCATTTTCCTGTTGATGGAACACCCCGAAGTTTTTTTTTTATTTTTTTTAAGATTTTATTTATTTATTTGACAGACAGAGATCACAGGCAGGCAGAGAGGCAGGCAGAGAGAGAGAGGAGGAAGCAGGCTCCCCGCTAAGCAGAGACCCCGATGCGGGGCTGGATCCCAGGACTCTGGGATCATGACCTGAGCCGAAAGCAGAGGCTTTAACCCACTGAACCACCCAGACGCCCCCACACAGAAGTTTTAAACACTTTGTACTGGTTGCCAGTGTTGCATGCCTGGCTGCAAATCCTGGCTCTGTTGTATGCTAGATATATGCCCATGTGCTGGTTACTTTGTCTCTTTGAGATTCAGTTTTCCCAATCTGCATAATGGGAAAACTGACAGCTATTGCTTATTAAATGTTTGCCATGTGCTTGCTTGGCCCTGTTCCAAGTGTTTTACATAATCACTTAATCCTCATAATGACCCACAGGATAGGGTTTATTACCATTCCCATTTTATAGATTTGGAAACTGAACACTCCACCTAGTTGATGGAAGTAGTCAAAGAACTAGTGTCTGGAAAGCACTTGGGACTCTGTGTTGTAACTACAATGTAGACAGTAAACATTAGTTGTTATTTTTCGTTTTAACTTACTGGTCCTTAGAGGAATCAATCAATCAATCAATCAATCAATTAATTTTTAAGATTTTTTAAAAAGATTTTATTTATTTATTTGACACAGAGAGAGACAATGCATGAGCACAAGCAGGGAGAGCGGCAGGCAGAGGGAGAAGCAGGCTCCCTGCTGAGCAAGGAGCCTGATAGGGACCTCCATCCCAGGACCCTGGTATCATGATCTGAGCAGAAGGCAGAGGCTTTAACCGACTGAGCAACCCAGGTGTCCCTCTTGGGAGAATTTAAGTTTATTACTCTTTTTTTTTTTTAAAGATTTTATTTATTTATTTGGCAGACAGAGCTCACAAGTAGGCAGAGAGGCAGGCAGAGAGAGAGAGAGAGAGAGAGAGAGAGGAAGAAGCAGGCTTCCTGCTGAGCAGAGAGCCCGATGTGGGACTCAATCCCAGAACCCTGAGATCATGACCTGAGCCAAAGGCAGAGGCTTTAACCCACTGAGCCACCCAGGCACCCCTAAGTTTATTACTTTTAATGGAGAAAGTGTATAAAACCCTGAGAATGGGGTTGCCAGATAAAAGGCAGATGTCCAGTTAAGTTTGAAGTTTAGATAGACAATGAAAATAATTTTAGCCTAACTATATTACATCAAATTTGTCACATATTAATGCTAAAAAGTGATTCGTTGTTTATCTGAAATTCAAATTTAATCCAGCCTCCTCTATTTTTATTTTCTAAGTATGGCAACCTTACCTTGCAGGAAATGACTAAGGTGACTAGGGACAGAACTTGTGCACATCAGTTTGCAGATGAGTAAACAGTCTTAAAGAGGGCAAAGGAGAGAGCCATGAGGTCTTAAGTGGATCCAGATCTTAGTCTCCTAGAAACCCCATTCAGTGTCTGTTCTCCATCAATGCACAGCTCTGCCACTTTTCAAGTCTTCCCCTGCCTCTGGCAGTTGAATGCAGAGTGGGTTCAGGGAAGACGGGGGCAGCAACATGACTAAGTGTTCTGTAGGGAAAGCCAGTAAGTGACAGGCGGCATGTGGGCTGCTGGGGTTTCTCTTCCCACTCCTTCCAGCTCTGCATCCCTGCTTCCTTCCCTCCTTCTCTCCCCAGAGGCCTGGAAAGCTCCTTCCCTTGCTGGTGGGCCTTCCTCCAGCACTGCTCTGGCAGGACTGAGTCCTGTCCCATGCTAACCTGGGTGTCCATGGCAGAAGAAGGGTGTCGGTGGTTCAAGGCTTTATCAGTCACAGGGTCTGCATTCCGACCAGGTCTACACTGACTTCTGAATCAGGGAACCTGGGAGCCAGAGCCACAGCAAGGGAGAGGAAGAAGTGGTCACACTGGGATTCTCTGTTCTCACGAATTCAGCTTCTCCTTTGAGAACCACCAACTACCTACTGTAGATTTCCCAGAACCTTCACAACATCCTACAAGGTAGAATTTGTTATTTCCATCTAGAGATTCAGACACTGAGGTGAAGGGACTGGCCTAAGACCCCTAAATTGTTGACTGTCAGGACTAGATCCTTGATCTATCTGCCTCGGGAGAGACATAAGTTTTTAGCTTCTGCTAGGTACTGCCTCCCAGATCAGAGCTAATCCACCCTGTTGGAATCTGCAAGTTAGGATAGCATAGTCCAGTGGTTCTCAAAATGTGATCCCTGGGGGGTACCTGGGTGGCTCAGTGGGTTAAAGCCTCTGCCTTCGGCTCAGATCATGATCCCAGGGTCCTGGGATCGAGCCCCGCATCGGGGTCTCTGCTCAGTGGGGAGTCTGCTTCCTCCTCTCTCTGCCTGCTTCTCGCCTACTTGTGATCTCAGTCTGTCAAATAAATAAAATTTAAAAAAAAAATTGTGACCCCTGGGTATCAACATCACCGGGGAACTTGTTAGGAATGCAATTCTTGGGCCTACTGATAACAGAACTTTCTGACTCAGAAATTCTGTGGCTAATATCTGGCAATCGGGTTTTAATAAGCTTTCCAGGTGATTCTGATGCACTCTGAAGTTTGACAATCTTTATGTATAATAGAAAGAGGTGCATAAAAAAAGTGCATATATTTAAAGCGTATTTAAGTAAGCTTTTACTGACATATAATATAAATACAGAAAAAGACACAAATCATAAGTATACAGCTCAATGAGCTTTCAAACAGTGAGAATGTTTGTGTACCAGCACTCAGCTCAAGACACAGAACATTATTACCAACCTGGAGAAGCCCCTTTGTGCCCCTTCCTGGTATTACCTCTCCTCAAAGGATAATCACTATCCTGACCTCAAACACTGTAGATTAGTTTTGCCTAATATTATACGGTTTTAAAAATTATAGATGAAGGTATGGAATGCCTGGGTGGCTCAGGCGGTTAAGTGACCCACTCTTGTTTCAGCTCAGGGCATGATCTCGGCATTGTGAAATCAAGCTCTGAGTGGGGCTCCCTGTTCAGCTAGGAGTCTTCTTGAGATTCTCTCTCTCTCCCTCTCCCTCTGCCCGCCCCTCCCCTCCCCAATAAATAAATCTTAAAAAAAAAAATTGTAGATGAAGACAGAATCTGGAACCAGAGGACTTTGACTAGATCCCTGGTTTCCTACTAACTGATCTACAACCAGTCATCTAATCTCCTTCTCTGTATAATGCTCATAGAAATACCTCAAACCTTAAAGGGACAGTGTGTTTCTTAAACTTGTGTGCTGTCAAGAATCACCTGGGGCACTAGTTAAAAAACCCACATTCCCCAGAGCATACATTCTTAATAGGACAAAAATTGGTTGTGGGTAGAGAGGAAAATTTTTTTCCTTGTTTATGTAAAAGCACATATATATATTAAAAGCACATACAATACATTAATAGATATACAGTATATTTGTGGTATTAAAATTTCATGGGGGAATAATTAGAGAAATGTCTAAAAATGTTCTTTAGAGAGCTGATAATTTTTTTTTAAAAGGTTGAAAAACACTGCCGTGCAGCAATGATTCTTCAAGCGTGGTCTGTGGTTAAAAATGCAAATTCTCAGGTCCCACTCCAGATCTACTGAATCGGAAATTCTGGGGGTGGGGCCCAGCAATCTATTGTTTAACAAATCCTTCAGGAGATTTTGACTGGGGTAAGATCCCTGAGTCTGGACCTTTAACCAGCTCTCCTAAGCCATATTGCAGCCAACATTGACAAAGAGATTTGAACGTACTTTGAAAAATGCAAGTGACTTGCCAGGTGGTAAAATATGTTCATAAGGACAGGCTAAACAATAATAGTGAAGGTCACCAATTACTAAGCCCTCAGCTGGGTCTCTGAGTCTACTTGCACAGCCTATTAATTCTCACAAACAGGAAGTTAAGAGGACGGACCAGACTGCCTGGGTTGGTTTGTTTCTTTGTTTCTTTCTCTTTCTTTTTTTTTTAAGATTTTATTTATTTACTTGACAGATCACAAGTAGGCAGAGAGGCAGGCAGAGGCAGAGGGAGAAGCAGGTTCCCCGCTGAGCAGAGAGCCCATGCAGGGCTCGATCCCAGTATCCTGGGATCATGACCTGAGCCAAAGGCAGAGGCTTTAACCCACTGAGCCACCCATGCGCCCCCTGCCTGGGTTTCTATCCAGCTTGTGACTTGGTTTATGCATTTGTAACGTGAGGATAATGGAGGTAGTTTTGTTATAGATTTGTTGTGAGGCTGAAAGAGCTTACGGATCACGGATCAGCTCTTCGAACACCTGCCACGTTGGCATCACTTATATGTAGGCTGTTTCCATATCCTTAACCGCACCTTGTTAAAAAGAAAAGGTGGATTTGAACCCAATCAATCAAACTCCCTAGTGTACTTTCTTAAGGACTAAACTATAATCCAGTGGTTCTGAAATTGTGATCCCCTACCAGGAGCACACCAGAGTTAGAGAGATGCAAATTATTACATCCATCCCAGATCTGCTGAAAGAGAAACTCTGGGGGTGGGGCCCCTAAGTTTCAACAAGCTCTTCAGGTAATTCTGATGCACATTAGCGTTTGGGAACCACAGCTACAGTCTTTAGAGGTTCGGGGGTGGGGAGTAGCTTTAAAAAAAAAAAAAAAAAAAAAGCAAAAAAAAGGCTTGAGCTGCTGGGAGAACTCCCAGGGTCCCTCCCACCTAAGCGCGAGCAAACTCCGGTTTAGAAGCTCTCCCAAGCTTCTGCCAACTCTCCCGGCCGGCGCGAAAGGCCTTCTGGGGCTTGTGGTCCACATTCCTTCCGAGCTGGAGGCGCCTGCGCGTTGGCCTCCAACTAGCTCTAGTTGCTGTGGTCGGGGCTCGGGACCGGCTGCCATCTTAGTCGAGGGACCGAAGAGTCGCCGCCGCCCCGAGTCCCGGTAAACATTCGCTGGCTGGCCGGGGGTAGTTCTGGGTAGAGGGGGGAGCCCGCATGAGAGTGTCCGAGGAGAACCAGGAGTAAGAGTGCGGCGCGCGGGCGGAGGACCCCAGAGCCGTGACTGCTCTCTTTTCCCTCACAGCCGGTGCCCGTGGGGGTCGCGGGGAGCTCGGGCTAGTGGCCGAGGGGTGGGTTGGCCGGAGGCGCCGACCAGCCACTAATGGCCGGGGTATGGGGAGCCCCTCGCCTCGCGGGCGCCAAGTTGTGAGACGGCTGGGCCGTGGCGGGCGCCAGCAGGGTCCATCCCCGCGCCCCTCAGCCCCGCCCGGGGGCCAGTCTCCCGCGGCCCGGCCTACGCGCGGGGCCCCGCGGCAGCGGCGGGAGCGGCCGACGTGGCCCTGTGAGGGGCGGCGGCGGGGCCCACCTGCCACTCGGCTGGCCTTCACGAGACTTTTTGGAGCCCCCAGTCGGGAGGCGGGCCCAGCACAGAGGCTGCCTCCTCCTTCTTCCATTCCCTTCCTCCCTCCATTGTCCCCCATCGTGGTGGTCCCGGCCCGGGCGCCCTTTTCCGCGCCCGGTGCCACGACCCCGCCGGCACCTCCCCGCGCCGAGTTTTGCGGACGTGGAGCTGTCACTGCCCTCCCTCTTGAGTGCCCTTTTTTTCATCAGAGAAAAGAAAAAAGTAGCCGGGAAAGTATTCTAAGGGTCGAAACGTGATGAGGACATGACTTAGTGGGAACTAAGTGGGGGAACTCAAGTTTTCAGACATAGTCCCGGGCCACGACTTGAGAGACGCCGGGTCTCTGCGCTCTAGGTAGACGTTAGGCCTAAAATTAGAGATGTAATCAGGTGAACTTGCAAACTACCCGCAATTCACGATTCCCCAATCACAACTTGTTTTCTTGTTTATATTCGCCGTTTAATCTTGCCGTAATTCAACAGCGCTAGTGTACTTTCTTTGGGAGTGAGGGTTGGGGAAGGCAAAGCGGGATTTTTTTTTCCTTTGGAAATTTTTTGAGGTACTGGGACCAGCCACTTACCATTGCACTAAGTTGGGGTCTCCCGTATCTACTCCTAATATAATTAGATTTTAAGGAGGTGTGTAAAGGCAGTGTATTTCTATCCTCAAAATCAGCTAAGGATTTCTCAGCTGAAATAAAATTCTCATGGCATATAATGCTGAGAGCCTGCAATGTATTCATATTCATATGTATTCATATTCACTATGTATTCACAGAGTTAGTTACTCGAGGTACAGTTACCAACAGAGAAAGTAAGTTTTTTGGGCGTGAATCCAGAGGGAATTCCTTCATGTTTAGTATAGGAATCAAGAAAAAGGATTTGAAATAAAAAAAACAAGTGCAGAATGCTTTTTCACAGTGTTCTAGAGAGATGATTTCTAAATTCTTTTTAAAAAACACATTCGTTCACCTATTGGAAGAGATAGACAAACTAATTGCTCCCAAAATTGCCCAGTAGAATAATTAGGGGAGCTTTTTAAAAAGTAGAAGCTCCAGGGTCTCCTTCCTAAGGTTGATTGTAGGTCTGCTTTGGTTCTGAAGAATTTATTTTATTTTATTATTTTTTTAAATATTTTATTTATTTATTTGACAGAGATCACAAGTAGGCAGAGAGGCAGGCAAAGAGAAGGCAGGGGAAGCAGGCTCCCAGCTGAGCAGAGAGCCCGATGTGGGGCTCGATCCCAGGACCTTAGGATCATGACCTGAGCCGAAGGCAGAGGCTTTAACCCACTGAGCCATCCAGGCGCCCCAGAAGAATTTATTTTTAAAACATGCTTCGAGCAGCTCTCATGGTCTTGGAACCACTGAGGCAAACAATACTGTGAACCTGAGAAATGCTCAAAAAACTTTAAGACTCATACCAGTTTTGTCTGGGGTTTGGCCATAGAAGGTGGCAGGACCTACCCCTGGTCCTAAGTTGGGTCTTAGATGAGTACGAGTGTGACCAGCATAGGTTACAGGAGGGACAGGGCAGACAGGACACCCCTTAATGCTGTGTGTAAATGCAGAAGACTGTGGGAGAAAAAGGTTTCACGGAGCAGGGAGTGGGATGGGGAAGGAGAGCATTGTGGGACATGAGGTCAGAAAGGTAAAAGGAGGTAACAAATGAAAAGTTACAAGTATTATGCTAAAAAACCTTGAGTTTTATGTTACCAATAGATTCAGATTTTAAACAGGGAAATTACATGAGTGACATGAATGTTGTAGAAAGATGGCTCTGGTGATGAGAGTAAAACAATGGAAGAGTGGCTATTGCAGAAGTCTAGGTGAGGGGTCAGAGGTTTGATGTTGGAGAGGCTGTGAGGATTGGATTTAGTTCTTTACTAGTGCAATATTGTTACCATATTTTTGGATGAGAATTGTTAGGGCCCCACTGGGTTTCGAAAAGGCTCTTATTCTGTAAAAAGGACCCATAAGCAAATCTGAATAATTTTGCCAGGTTATATATATTAATGGTATCAGAGTATATTTTTCATTAACACTTTTTTTTAAAAGATTTTATTTATTTATTTAAGCAAGAGAGAAAGAGAGATTGAGAGCAGAGAGAGGGAAGGTCAGAGGGAGAAGCAGACTCTGCTGAGCAGAGAGCCCTGTCCGGGACTCATCCTGGGACTCCAGGATCATGACCCCAGCGAAAGGCAGTCGCTTAACCAACTGAGCCACCCAGGCACCCTTCATTAGCTCTTTTGAAAAATTAGAATCAGATTGGCTGCAATTTGTAGGAGAATATTTGGAGATTAGACTGCAATTTATGACCATCAACACTATTGATCTAAGCTTGTTGGAAGTGTTTCTCTCATATTCAGAAACTTGGTATTAGAGTTTCAGAGTTGGAAGAGATTGCAGAGATTACTAGTCCACAGTGGCAAATATATTTTGGTTTATGCACCAGGTCTGCTTTGAAGTAGCTGGCAGAGCGATTTTGGTCATATATGTTCTCTGGAAATGTGAGTTATGATTGATTAGTGATGCTTCCTGTGGACACAGTTACTTAGTAGGTGATATATGTGCCAGGTATATGCCATCCTTAGACTAGTCCAAACTATTAGTTTTCTGTTTATTAAAAAAAATCCTAAACAGGTTCAATAATTTACCTAGAGCTAGTTAAGAATTAGAGCTAGAATTAGAACCGAGTTTTTGTAACTTTTAGTTAATCTCCAGTGTGTCAAGATGAATGTGTGCTGCTAAAGAGCCTTTGGTATTAGACCAAAAGAAAAAAGATACTTCTAGCCTGTGCCTCTTGACTGTTTAGGCAAGAGTTTAACAAGGAACTTTGGCCTAGAATGAATTTTGTTGTATTTATTCTGGCTTAAGAAATTTGTTGTTAGGGGCACCTGGGTGGCTCAGTGGGTTAAGCCTCTGCCTTCAGCTCAGGTCATGATATCAGGGTACTGGGATTGAGCCCCACATTGGGCTCTCTGCTCAGCAGGGAGCCTGCTTTCCCCTCTCTCTCTGCCTGCCTTTCTGCCTACTTGTGATCTCTCTCTCTGTGTCAAATTAATAAATAAAATCTTAAAAAAAAAAGAGAAATTTGTCGTTAGTACTGCTAGGAAATAGTCACCTGCTTGTGGCCCCGCCCCCCACTTACTTGTTCCTCACTCCTCTCTCAATTTTGGGTTTTGGGGATTGGTTTTATTTATTTATTTATTTATTTTAAAAGATTTTATTTATTTATTTGACAGACAGAGATCACAAGTAGGCAGAGAAGCAGGCAGAGAGAGAGGGAGGGGAAAGCAAGCTCCCTGCTGAGCAGAGAGCCTGACAATGCGGGGCTCGATCCCAGGACCCTGGGATCATGACCCGAGCCGAAGGCAGAGGCTTTAACCCACTGAGCCACACAGGCGCCCCAGGGATTGGTTTTATTTATATGAGTTAAGGCAAAGTGTATAAAGTTATTTTTTCCTGTATTTGTAGCACCTCACCAAATTCTAGGCTCATAATAAGCTCTTAGTAAAGGCATGTTGATTTTTGTGGCTGTACATGATATTGGTTTTGAGTTAATATAAATTAGTGGGGTGTGTGTGTGTGCGCGCGCGTGCAGAATTGAATTGCAGCATTGTCTGGTTGGTAGGTCGGCCCCTCAGCTAAAAATGTTGGGTTGGAAATAGCTTCACAACTAGTAGTCATTAACCAGGAGCTGTTCCTCCTTCAGTCTAGCAGTGTACCGTCCTTGGAAAACTGCTGCCACCTCAGCTTTTTTCTTTTCCGAACTGACTGTACTCTGATCCTGGAAGTGCTTTTTCTTTTCCTATCCTTAGGAGCCTCCCAAGTTGCAGGGACCATTCTTATAGTGACCCCAGTACATAGTGTGTGTGTTTTATGGCCATCGTCATTTTGCCATGTAGCCATCATACCCAAGTGGGCATCACCCCATATTCTGTAGGAGTCATTTTTCATGACTCACCTTCTTATCCTGCCTGCCCCATCAAAAATTATCTGTGCCTCCCCAAATTATCTATCCCATGAAACTTTTACATTTATTTTATGTAAAGATTACTTTCTAGAAGTAATCTCTGTGTCCATCGTGGTTCTTGAACTCATGACCTCAAGATCAAGAATTAACATACTCTACTGATGAGCCAGCCAGGTACCCTTATCCCATGAAACTTAAAAAGCTATTGTGCTGTCAAATTCCCAAGGTCATTGCTAATCTGATGTGTTTAACTATAAGAATAATGTGTTAATGGACCCTCCTTCCCCTCTCAGGTAACATGCATTTAACAGCGGTCTTCTGGAGACAACGCCTTAACCCAAAGAAGTGACTCGAACGGTGAGAACTTCAGGTATGGTGGCAGGCCTTTGAAAGAGATTGGGAGACAGGAATGGTGCAGAGGGTGAGAGCTCTGGTCATATAACTGCTGTGGGGATGTATGGGGAAAAGAGGGTGTTGATGCTGACTACATCAATTGGTTGAGATAGGCATTTTGCACTTGGATTTGAAACTCATAGTCTCCTCTATAAGGATTAGCTTGTGAGCCACATTTTGCTCTTACTTTTGGTCTTCTGACTTTTCTGTTTTTGTTTTTCTTGGACATACACACATTTTTCCCACTTGTGCTGTTTTATAAACATTTCTCTCTGTATGTCCAGATATGTGCATTATGATTAGAAAGTTAAGAAGTAAAAAGAAGGCAACATGCAATGGAGAAAGAGAATTTGGAAAGAAAGGTCTGATTTGATTTTCCCACTGACAAACTGTATGACTTTTGGCCAGTTATTTAATCTTGACTGGCCTCAGTTTATATATCTGTAAAATAGATGTATTCATTCCTACCTGCCTTCCTGACATCGTTGTGAGGATCAAATAAAATAATACATACTAAAGCTTTAGAAAAAAATGAATTCACAACTTAAGACATTATCTAGGTCTAAAAGGTAGGAGAAGTTGGGAGTAATACTGAGAAGGAAAACATGAGGACAGGACAGACTGACTTTAAAGGATTAGGAGAGAGAAAAGGAAGACTCGATAAGAAAAAAAAGTAGAGCAGGAAAAACTCAAGAAGAGAGTAAGGAGTGAATGAAGTAGAACTAATGAATTGGTAGGTTAGAAAGCTGAGTACTGTAGAGAGTGGTCCCTTTTACTAATTTTAACCTTGCAACTCTTCGTTGTCATTGTCATTACTACCTTCACATAATGTCCTAGATTCCATACTTAGATTCCTGTCCTCACTGTAAATGTCAGTATTTATTATTCATACCTCTACGTGACCCTTTGCATTTAGTTTATATTTTTGTTCAATAATTACCCTCTAAATGCTTAGAGACCAAGACTACGATTTGCTTGTTATGGTGTCCCAGGACATTGCTGTAATCAAATGTGTGCTTACTCTGTTCTTTTTTTATAATTATGGAGGGAAAGGAAGGAGATAGTGGGAGCTTTGTGAAAGGTAGTAGGAAAGGAAGTGGCTAAGAGGGAAAGTAGATAAATAAATGTAGTAAGAAGAAGAATTCTCAAAAAATAAAGGAAATACATGAAAATGAAAAATACATAGTGCAAAAAAAAAAAGGGGAAAAGGAAATGGTGTTATTTGCAGTTAAGGAACAAGGCAGCTTTCATTTCTTTAATGGTGATATAATACCTCACAAAAAGTTATGTGCTGGGAAAGATGATTCTTCATACCAAGTATCTTTTTTCTTTTTTTTTTCTTTTTAAAGATTTTATTTATTTGACACAGAGAGAGCGGGAGAGAGCACAAGCAGGGGGAGCAGCGGAGGGAGAGGGAGAAGCAGGCTCCCCACTGAGCAGGGAGCATGATGTGGGGCTTGATCCCAGGACCCTGGGTTTATGACTTGAGATGAAGGCAGACACTTTACCTACTGAGCCATCCAGGTGCCCCCATACCAAGTATCTTTAAAATATTTCTAAAAGTATCCACTGCATCCTGAACTCACAGAGTATTTCTTTGTGGAAAGAAAACTAGGGCAACATTCCAGGAAACCTGGGTTCTAACCTTGGTTATTTCTTGTTGCTTACTCTGAAATCTTGGGCAGTTCACTTAAATGTCTCTGGGCCTCTATTTCCTCATGTGTATGTTAAAGGTATCAAACATGATGATCTCTCTGTTTTCTTCTAGCTCACTCTTTGATTATATTTTGTGCTTTATGTTCTCTCACTAATTTTTCAGGATTTTGTTGATTCCACAATATAAGATTGGTATTAGAAATATCTTATAGTAGAACTTCATAATATCCATTACCTTATAAGTGAGAAGCCATTCTATTTTAAGTTCTACTTTAAACATTGGCAGAAAGAGAGATTTATAGAAAACCTAAGTACAAAAATGTTAAGTTTGTAATATTCAGCAATTATTTATTTGAGCTCCTGTTGTGCTAGGTCCCAATAGGTAAATATAAAACCCCTATCTAAAGGATTTTGTGCTTTTGTCAGGAAAACAGACGAGCTCACCAGTAATTCTTGTACAAAGCAGGGTGATAAGTGCTATAATAAGGATTACATTGCATTGCAATTTAAGGTAGAAGCTTTAGATTTCTTGGTTCTTTTAACATAAATGAATATATGCTAAGTGTTGCTCTGTGCTAGGTGTTGCAGGGACTCATGATGAAAAAAAAGTCCCTGACCTCAAGAAACTTGCAGGCTTTTTTTCATGTCTGGGAGCTGCTTACCCTAATAGATTTACATTTCTGTCCCAGAAAGAAGTTTTGTACTGTATCATCACTTCATAGTTTTAAACTAAGAATTCATCTGCATATTGAGCTTCCCTCAATCCAGAAATGTTAAATAACATACTTTCTGAGAAAATGTGTATTATTTCATTGGATCTGTATTGTTTTCTCTGTCAGTGACAGAAATTTTTCTTTCAGGGTAAGGAAAAAATCCAAATGCTGTCTGGATAGCATGTGTAGGTGAACTTTGGTTTGCTTCTTAATCATTCAGAGAAAGAGGGAGATCTAAAATTTAGCCTTCTTTGTTCCAGGGAATTAGTTCAGTTGGTCACAGAGGAGAGGATGTGTCTGGTTTTGATTTTTTGGCTCTACTGTGTACTGGGAGTATAACCTTGGTCAAGTTCCTCATCCATAAATTGGGACTAGAAATTGCATATATCCATAGGGTTGTTGTGTGGATTAAAAATATATTTTTGCTTGAACAATAGTTGGCTGAATAAGTATGAAGTGTTCATTGCTATTACTGTTTTTTTATTATCATCATTACCACCGACCTTGTCTTAAAATTATTATCTCAATTCTTTAATTTATTAAATAAGCTTTTCTAGGGTGAGCATTATAAATTTGAATGGAACATTTTATTTATTTATTTTAAGATTTTATTTATTTATTTGACACAGAGAAAGAGAGATCACAAGTAGGCAGAGAGGCAGGCAGGCAGGGAGGGGGAAGCAGGCCCCCGCTGAGCGGAGAGCCTGTCTCAGGGCTCCATCCCAGGACCCCGAAATCCTGACCTGAGCTGAAGGCAGAGGCCTAACCCACTGAGTCACCCAGGTGCCCCTGAATGGGACGTTTTAAATAGTGAAGATCAAATTGAGACTAAAGTGAACCAGGGAATTTGTGTTCCTCTAATGGGGTAGTTGTTAAGTGGCTTTGGCTTGCTTTTTTAAAAAATTAAAGGTAAAGTTGACCATTTTTACCATTAAAAAATATATAATTCAGCGTTGCCTCACTTTTGATCTAGTGGGGAGTATAGGACCAAGTGTGGGCCGAACATCTTAACTTTTTTCTAAACAGAAGCTGGGAATCCAGATTTTGTGAGAAATCTTTATTTTAAAATGTTGACAACTTTTGAAATCATAAATGCTGTGGGCCAAGCAAATCACCACTGCGGGAAGGATTTGTCTTGTGGGTTGCTGCTTTGCAACCTCTGTTCTGGAGCTTGACTTTTTGCATCATAACCTATGTTCCCTGTCTTCTGGGAAGAAAGTCCTTGCACACATAAAGATTTAAAACTGTTCAGGCAATACCTCAGAGCAGTCTAGGGCTGAATGAGAGGTACACAGGGTAATTATTAAGGCAGAGAAGAGGAGGGATGTTATTTAAGACAGATTCAAAATTGCCAAAGGTATGGAGGCAGGAATGGACTTGAGATGGTGGTAGTACAGGCAATAGATTAGTTGGAGTTTAGATTAGTTTCAAGAGGGTTTAATGGGCCTGGTAATAGAAGAAAGTTTGAAAGTTAAGACACCAGCCTTCTTGTTTTAGGATAACTTAAGTCCTGTTGGCTGACAGAATAAAATGGTATTTTGTGGCGATTTATTAGGTAATACCGAGGCCTACAGTATTTACTAGGGTTGGTAGCTTCTGGAGGCTGGAAAAACAGGCTAGGGAGGTAGGTGGTAGTGGGAATGGAAAGGAAGGGACAAAAGCTTGTATAAGAGACAAAAGTATATATATGGGTCACTCTGTGACAGTGGAACCCTGCAGTAGATAAAGATAGCCAATTTTGAAAGCTTTTCCCCTAGTTGTTCTTTTATAAAAACTGGGGTATGTGAGAATAATACTATTATCTCTCCTTTTTCGTGTTGTGGATCTTGCTTTATCACTCTCTCCACCCCAGCTTAATTATGGATCGTATACATAGTCTTATGATTTCCCAGCTTGCACAAAGAGAATAGAAAAAAGAGGAAATAAAGTAGTTCAGCTGCTTATCACATTTCTAGTTTTGGATTTTTGGTGATCTTGGATAACCTCTGATAAGTTTCATTAGACTTTATACGTGGAATTTTTGTATTTACCAAAGTTTGGAAACACCGGCAGTTTTCTCATGGAAAAGATGTAGAATTTTGCTGCAGAAGCTTGACACAATAATTAATTCATGATTTAGAATGTTTAAAGAAAGTGATAAACATTGTAGAAAGGTGGAATGTGTTTATTCTCTGTGACTTGAGAAAGTGATTTTTAGGATTTTATTTTCACCAGGATTTATTTTATAGTTCCTCTTGAGAATTTTGACATATACAGGGAAATTATTTCTTATTCTTGGCTAAAATGCCAAGTGTAGTTATTGTAAGTAGTCTTTTTGATGAGTAAACTGAGTAGTATGTTAGGTATAGCCTGAGTATTAAGAATAGTTGAGGTGCAGTCATATTTCCCTCACTGATGAATGAAAGTCCTAAACTGAGCCTCTGAAAAGTACAAAAAATTGGGGCCCGTCAGAGAGATGCAGCAATAGGGTCAAATAGATTTGAACTAAATCTAAATCTCATTTAATGGAGAAGGGATTTTTTTTTTTTTTTTATAGCATGGTCTAACCTAGTTTTTGGAATTCATTTGTTCTGAATATTGAAAGGGATTTTCAGGTGGTTCATTTAAT